CATAGGGGACCACATTTAGGAGATCCATACTTTGAGATGTACGTATTACGTAACAAACAACCTTACACGTTAGAATGGGAGGACAATTATTTCATAGCACGAAAAGGAGACCATATTCAAATAGGATGCCGAGAAGTCGAGAATTTAATAGGAACAACAGAGAGACTAACACTGACGATCACACCTCGGCTATATAAGTCTGACCATAGGCTTCTTGGCGAATTAACAAATGTGCTGATCACTCATAGCCAAGTAAAGAGTGGCGAGCCCATTGTTTGGATTCAACGGAAGGGACCAGTCTCGTGTCAGTGGGACAGTTTTGAAGGAGGGAGACCCCAATGTGAGATTCTATTTGAGCTAGATCAAACAATGCATTTTCAGTGTAATAGAGAAGTCAAGATCCCTAAACCCTTTCCTGAAAAAGGTGTCAAAGGTAGCAAAGGCTGGGGACAAGTCATAGTAATGACAGATCCAGTTGTGAATCCATCAAGTGAAATCACTCCACCCGTAGAGTGTAAAAAGGTACACAACTTTACCTTTATAGGGCCTCAAGTAATAAGACAGTCAAACGAGTTGAAGTTGCTGCTAGATCCCACATATTCTCTAAAGAAGATACAGATGAACATTCAGACAGACATTACACACTTACAAGAAGATTGCCAACCGTTCGTAAAGCAAAGCCTCAAAGGCTGGAATGCCTGGTTAGCGACTAGATCACATCACAAACGAACACAAAGAGATATAAGTGGATGGGTTGGCACAGGGTTTGGTATAATGAACACCATAGACCAAGAGGTATTAGTAAATAAGTTGAGTACCGTCACTTCCAATCTAGGAAAGCTTAAAGTACCTTTAAGCTCATCTATGCTAACCTTAGCAGAAACACAATCCCTAGTAGTTAAATTGATGACTCTAGTAGCCGACCACACCGCTGAAGATTTTGTCAAAATTGCTGATTATGCTGGAGATATTAGCAAAGAAGTTGCGCTTGCTATCCAGTGCATTCAAACACAACAATGGATACAGTCAGTAGCGGCAGGAATATTGAGAGAAGGGATGTCAGGTATATTACCTCAAGAAATAAGGGAAACAATATTAAGAGATAGCTCCACTACACGATTTGAAATAGACCACCAGGCTTGGTGGCAATTAGTTAATTTTACTTATGATCCACAACAAGAGCATGTTGAGGCCTATGTCCTCACCATCAGTGCTGCAGAAGAGAGGGCTATCTTCCCCATTCTAACATTAGGAACTATACATCAAGATGTCATCGTCAGACCTGTAGATCATAATGTCTGGGCAAACTATGACAACACTAAGAACAAGTGGCAATCAATTAGCACAGAAGCATGTATTCCTAAAGGACAATTAGGTTATATTTGCGAAAATGCCATAGTAGAAGCCGAAGACTTATGCTTAGATGCTGAAGACAGTATATGCACTTTTGAAATGCTTCCGCACAATAGAACCCGATCACAAGTATTCTATATAAGAAATGGATGCGCTTGTATTAGAACCCCTTGTGTTGATGTAGTTATAGATAATTGTCTTGAAGTGACTAATGATACTAACTTTTGTATATGTAACTTCACCAAAATTGTAGGTTGTGACTTTAGCTATACCGCACCCATAACCACACAGCAGTTAATCGAAGCTGAGTACACTTTGTATCATGAAGTACCCAAACTACAGATAGGCATGGTTACTAAGCTTCTCAAAGAAATGCTTATGCATCCTGAAGTAAGAAAGTTAGCTCAAAAGGTGAATCAAACGACCCAACGCATGGTGTGGCAAGTAGAGCATAATTCAGAAGGTATAAAGAATATCTTGACGAAAGTTGCGCAAGTAGGTCAACATCACTGGTGGGACATTTTTACAGGATACTCTCCAACAGCAACCCAAGTTTTCCACTACCTGGTGCACCCCATATTAATTATAGCTATAGGCATGTTCTTGTTAACCCTTATGAATATATGCCTGTGGTGTAAGTTAAGGTCCATGGTCAAGAGAACCCAAATGATTTGGGCAATGATAAAAGCATATCAGCGCCCTTTAGGACTAGAACTTGACGAAGGAATTCGTAAGTTCTAAGAAAAGGGGGGAAATGAAGCCAGGTAACACCTGAAAAGCGAATTTAAGCAATATAAAGAGTTAAGCACAAAATGTAGAAGCAAGCTTTAGCAAGGCACATAGAATTCAGCATTAGGAAAGCGGAGACAATAAATTCACTGAGGTACAGGTCACTCTGACACAGGAGAACATAAACATGAACAGAAAATGCTAGCACATACAAAAAGAGACAT